AAAAAATTGGGTAGTTTTGAGGTTACTGGTCTGCCCACTGAACGATCAGGATTAGATCGTTCAGTATTGATAACATTACGTTTTGCATCAATGGAAAATACTGTTGCAACAGCAAAGAGCAAACATAGTGGTGAAGTCTATCGTACAGTATTTACTAACAAAGAATGATATATTATTTTATATTGACTTTACATATATTATTATCGCAGATTTGCAATTTTATACTAAATGCTGCGGTATTTATAAAACAATATATTTTATTTAGGTAGTTATTTATTAATAATATAAATGAATTAAAGAATATTGATATGTATCTTCTAAAATATAAATAAATGTCATAAAAATATCGATATATAGGTAATTTTAAAATTCTTATCGTTATTAAATGAATAGTTATATTTGGAATTATTTATCTGTTACGTTAACGTGATTTTCTCGTCCCGAATACGATTTTTCAATTAATTTCATCCGGAAAGGCCTTGTTTAATTAATAATTTTTATTATTTCTGTATTTGATTTGCTCACACTTTCGGAGTTTACATAAGACACTTAAAATACTTAAATATTACACTTAGTATATACCTATTATGCTTCGTATTAAAATTAAACAGGATTATAAGTTCAAATTACTACTCTGTAAAAGATATCGCTGCTTTCATGATTTACCATAATTGCTTCATTATATTTGGCATCTGTATTTTTTTATTTGTTTATTAAAACAATGTATACCAACATCTTATCATCATAATGTTTCACATAAGTCAAAGAATCAACAAACATTTGTTCCAGAATTCTATCTAGTCGAAGACATATTGAAATGGTATCTTTATGATCTTTTGCGAAATAATTACGGAATTTTAATCAAACTGTGTAATATTTTAATATTGACATTGTCTGTTACCGTTATTGTTACTTTCTATGTCATACGTAAAACATAACTATTGCAGCTCAACATTAAAATCAATGTTATGTGTATCGTATATACGATTAATGAGGAACATAAAATATAGTCGGTTTTCCGTGAAACAGTGGTAAAGTTAGTGTTTAAATTTTTTTATAGTACAAGTGTTAGTGGGTACTTGTACACCTACCAATCATACTGAATCAAGGAAGTTGCTTAAATTGGCAGAGTTGAAAATTGATATAATATTGTGACCTGTAAATGTCAACCGAATTGTGAAAATTTTATAGAAATTTAAACACTTATTATAAATTGCACTATTGGTGTTGAACACCAAATAATTTTTGATTATAATTTTGTTGTAAATACTTAAGTTTGGGTCAAAAATTAGAATAAAATTATTAAAATCTATAAACTAAAAATTAATAATGCTGTGGTAAAGTTTTTTAGGATGTTGAACATTTTCCATATATACTCGGCCTTGGTTTTTTACAGTTTTTGAAATATAGCAACTGTGGTGTTAAACACCACTGGTATGATTTAGAAATATCGTCTATTTAATGTGTTCAAACATAGAAATCTAAGCAATTTTTAAATTATACTAAGAGGGTAGTCATGTTAACTATAGAACAAGTAAGTAAAATTCAAAAAATTTTAATTTTATAAAACAATATTTGATTAATTAATTTTATTAATAAAGATATTTAATATTTTAAAAAATCTTAATTTATAATTTATTTTATATTCTAATTTAAAATTTAATCTTTAAATATAAAATAAAATTTTATAATAAATTTTATAATAAAATTTTATAATAATCAAAAATATTTATTAGTAAAATTTATATTTAAAAATTTCAAATAAAAAAAACTAATTCAGTAATAATTTTTTGGATATATAGATTAATATAGATTTTTGTTTGTATTATTTTTTATTAATAATTTTTCTGTAATATTGTTATTATTATTTTTAGTATTAAACTATATAAACAAAACTCCAATTATTAAATTACTAAAGTAATTTTTAAAAAATAATATATATAATAAATTTTAATTTTAATATTTAGTAAAATTATTTGAACAAGACTAGAAGATACTTTATGCACTTTATGCTTTTTTTGATATTTCAAAATTTTAAATAAATAATACCTTGTTATTTAACAAATTCAAAAACTCTTTATGCAATTTTACTATAACTTTAAACCTAACTCTAGCATAAATTTTATTTTAAAATTTACTTATTTGGTTATATAAACATTAATTGTATAGAAGTACTGTCTATATTTATTTAAATTATTTTTAAAAATTTTTAACTTTATATTTTTATATTTTTTTCTATTTCAAACAAAATAAATAATCTTTAAATAAGTTTTCAAACAAATTTTATGATTGATCTGTAATTAAGTTACAACTATATTGAACTTTAATCTATATTTTAGTAAATTTAAAATTAAATTGACCATTTAAAAAATGGTAGTTAAATTAAATATTATGAGGTTCTGCAGCTATATGTTTTTATTAATTTTCAAAGTTTTTATAAATTTTTATATAAAAATTTTAACCAAAATTTTTTTACATTAAGGTTAGTACTTGCAGTCAGAATTAGGATTTGGTAAGGGCTTTGGGCATAAAACATTTTTACTTAGAACACCTCACACCAATTAATTAGTGAGTTTTTGAGATAATGCATACATATAGATGTAAAACACTATAGATGCATTTTAGTAATCTTCTTAAATTAATGCTTCAAATTTTAATTTTATAATTATTACATTTTTTATTAAATTACTTTATTTACAATTATATTGAATCATGCAATGATAAAGATCATAAAATTTGTTCTGTCAGAGCAAATGATGGGATAAAACGTATCGCCACGCTGGGGTTGTCAATCATCTAATAGAATCAAACATATTTCTAGTCTCATTGATTTTTGTATAATGATAGTTTATTGATTAAAAAATTATACCACATTCTATATTAAAAGATTAGTAACGCTCAGTAATAAATGCTTTTTTTCAATCTTAAAGTCTTTTACTCTTTACTGCATTTTTATCAAAGTTACATTTTCAAATTTTATATACCATAGTAAAATTTTCAAATAAAAAACACCCGTGGTCTAATACAAAATACTTTTCAAAAAAACTTACAAAAGCCCCGAATATATTATACAGCAGTGGGTCTGTGTCGCAAGAAAGAAAACTTTCATTTATATACATACTCCGCATTCATGATAAGCAGTCTAGAAATTTAAAAAAACATATATTTAATTAGGGAAATTCTATTTTCACCCGGGTTAAAGTCACCCGATATATAATTTCCATTATATTATATAATATAAACTACTATAGCCAACTAAAAATTCTATAGATTGGTTAGTTAGAGGTTAGGGTAGATGAATTTTACAATATTATAT